ACACTTCTCCATCATTTTCTGTAATACAATGCACTGACAGCAGGTGTTTGCTAAGTTCTGGAACATATGAAACGTTTTTCAAACTACACTTTTTAAATTCCAGATTGCCTATTTCTTTTGCAGTCATACTTTGATTGTTCTTTGCTACCTTTATACATTGAGTATACTGCTTAGTATGAATCAAATCAGTCTTCACATTTGTCATATGACATGTGCTACCACTATCCACTACATACATTTTGTCTTTTTCACTTGCATCACTCACGTGGGTTTCTGCTGCTTCAGCTACAAAATTGACCTTGCTTCTTTTATTCCTATCTTTAAAATAACAGTCCTTTTCAGCATGGTTCGTTTTCTTGCATACTGTACATTGTTTTCTGGTATCACTGTACTTATTTCTAAAGTAGCAGTCCTTTTCAGAGTGATTATTCCTTTTACAGATAGAGCAATTTCTCTTACCTTTGTTGGGGCAGTTGATCTGGGCATGACCTATTTGATTACAATTGAAACACTTGAAAGGGATTTTATATTTGGTCTTAGTTACTTCCTTAAAAGCTATGCTTTCCTCTTCTTTAGTCGTCATCTTGCGCTTCACTTCTTCCAACATCAATCTGGCCACCAGGTTGTCAAGGGTTCTGTCCACGGCCACCGTTGAGTCCCAGGCAGTGCTGAAGTGTTTGTAGTCTTCTGGTAGAATCATTTTTATTTTTGTCATGATCATGTTTTCATCAGCGTTTGGTTCAGTTGATGAAGCCTGAAGGCAATGTTCTGCACATGACTTATATTCGTCATCATATCCTTAGTTTTGTCATACTTGAAGTTGTGGAAGTCTTGTAGTAGAAGGCACTTCTGTTGAGAGGTGTCTCGCTGATAAATTTGCTTCAAGGTGTCGTACATTTCTTTAGTGGTTGTGCATGTCATAATGTGGGTCTTCACGTGTTTCTCTATCGTTCTCACTATGCAGTATTGGAACTTTGCATCTTGCATCTTCCATTTCCTTATATTTTCTTCGTCTCTTCCTTGGTCACTTAACAGGTCGCTGCCATCAACGATGTTTATCAGTTCTTTTGCATGCATCAGAATCTTGATTTCAAAATCCCACAACGGAAATGAGTCGGCGTCCTTCAGTTTTGGCAGATGAGTTATCTCTTCTATCTCTGTGGTTGCCATTTTTTTCGTTATTCTTCTCCTTTTTTTTCAAGCAAATCTGGGCCCATAACCTGTTGATTTTCTTTGTGTCATGCTTACACATCACTTGACAGCCATATTGGATGAGAAAAAGCTTTTATTATAATATAAAACAACAAATGAATATTCTCAACAGAGTCGACCACAGGGCCATAGTGTGGCTGGAAGGATTATGTAAATTGAAATATCCACCTCATCAGGACTCTTAAGCCGCGATCTTCCAGCTTCTAGCATTGCCCCCCCCCCAAGTACTGTTAGAATGTTATTCAGATAAAATTATTTTTGTATACACATTTATTTACACATGCTGTCTTTCATTTTTTCATAGTGGTTATGTTTGGATATGATTTATGCAGTTTTAATTAATGGCTAAGAGACCAATGAGGGAATGGGTTGCCTCTCTATAATCTCAGATACAGGCTGCATTATTAAATGTACAGTACATAAATAAATAAATGAATACATAAGGTGATAATATCATTGTATTCATCTTACACTGTTATATAAATGAATTTATTGAGCTTACTAATTTTTATTTTCCCAACCTCGCCGATATAGTTCGCTAGCAGACTAAAACCACGGAGTTCTGTAGTATGAAAAAGTACTGTGAATGGGAAGAAAATCATTCCTGAGTTTTGACAGATTTACAGTTTTCAGTGCCTCATGAATATGACTGAGCCATGCGTCTTACTTAGGCTCCGTTCAGCGGCTTCTCTTCCTACCCCCACTTTTTTTTCTTCTCCTTGTGTCTAGTAAGTTCTTCCGTCCTGCCCTATCACGTGATCCCCCCCTCCAACTGGTTCTGGTTTTATGGTAACTAGTAGGGTAGGCAGAGATGTACACTCTAGGACGAGACGTCGGGAAAGGAGGTAACAAGCAAAATTGTTTTTTTGGGCGTGGCCAGTCTAAATTCTCTTTGGATTGTTTCCCGTGAAGGTTTACGAAAAGGAATAACCGTATTGGTGGTCTGGGGCTATATACATATATACATACCTATATTTACATTTTTTTTTGGTAGGAAACTATTGTCTTATTATTTACCAGGGGACGATGTATTCATATATTTGTGAGCAAGCTAATAATGTTAGCTAAACTATTGTGATCTATTATTTGTACTGTTCTGAGAGTTATTGTAGGCAAGCTAAAAATGTTAGCTAAACTATTGTGATCTATTATTTGTACTGTCCTGAGGGTTATTGTAGGCAAGCTAAAAATGTTAGCTGAACCATTGTGATCTATTATTTGTACTGTCCTGAGAGTTATTGTACTGTACCATATTATACTTATTATATTAAATTTTATACTGCTTGGACATCCCTTGTATCTCAGGGAAGTAATTAGAAGCAACAACGAGAACTAGGAGATGGAAGCGGCGTCCTCCCCCCAGCAGGAGGAAAGGTAAAGGGGGAGTGTCAGCTCATGACAAATTGGTTTTGTGTATGCTGCCTGCCTGTCTGTATATCTCTATGTATGTCTATGGATGTGCATCTTGTTAGCAACTAAACAGTTGGATTTTATTTATATCTGTTAGTCAAAGAGTTCATCCATCATTGGTTGGTGTCCAGTAATTATGAGCACTGCAGCTCCAAAAATATGGGCCTCAAGACACAAAATGACAATTTTCTTATAATGGCTCCTACATTTTTAGTAACTTCCAGTAATTTTTAGACCTTCTCTCAAAATACACCTCTGTAGGTGGTATTTTCAAGAAAGTAAAGCTATGCACATTAGGAGCCCAAATGAGAAATTTCAGATTTGTCAAAACTTGATTTGAATTGAATTGAATTTATTTACATTCTATAAATCCAAAGNGCTTTTCACGGCAATGACTATGAAGAAAGTCGTCTTCTGGGTTCAGGCGCCGTGTATTCTTCGTTTTGGCCGACGTTTCGGAGGAACGTATCCCCTCCATCTTCAGAGCAGGTGAATGGCTACACCCGTGACTCCCCACACTATGTGAGAAACTCTGCCAAATTTGTCCACACCATAAAATCCCTCCGATTAAACCCTTATGATATTATGGTTAGCTTCGATGTGGTATCGCTTTTCACCAAAGTGCCAATCAGTGACACTATGGATCTACTAAGAGGAAACTTCGCCGAAGATGTTTTGAGACTCTTTCGCAATGTCCTAACCACATCCTACTTCAGCTTTGATGGCCAGTTCTACGAAGAGACTGACGGTGTAGCCATGGGCTCTCCACTATCTCTGGTCATTGACAACTTCTACATGAAGGACTTTGAGGAGAGGGCGCTGGATTTGGCTCCACTCAAGCCCCCATGCTGGTTTCAATATGTGGATGACACCTTCGTCATCTGGCCCCACAGACCTGACAACCTGAGGGGTTTCCTGAACCATTTAAACAGTATCAACCCATGCAGTCAGTTCACTATGGAAACCGAAAGTGAAGGCCACCTCCCCTTCTTAGACATAGACATTTACAGGAGACCCGATGGCTCTCTAGGCCATACAGTATACCACAAACCCACACACAAACCTCTATCTCAATGCCAAGTCCCATCATCACCCTTCCAGTAAACAGGCAGCCCTGTCCACACTGGTACACAGGGCCAGAGCTCTGTGCGATCAAGAGAGTCTGCGTGTGGAGTTGGAGTTCCTGAAGGACATCTTCAGACAATGGCTATAACGACCGGCAGATCCACAGGGCCCTCAACCGCAATCCCAACAGCAATCAACATGATGAACGCAGAGAAACTGTCGCCTTCTTGCCCTTTGTCGGGACTATATATTCAACAGGATCAGCAGAGTGCTGTCCCGACGCAACATTAAATCAGTTGGCCTGCCCCCAAAGAAAATATCTAATTTCCTCCGGCCTGTCAAGGATCACCTGGGACTGAGGACACCGGGAATTTACAGACTTCCATGCGAGTGCGGCAAGGTCTACATTGGGCAGACGGGCCGTTCTGTGGACACCAGGTTGAAAGAACATCAACGGCTGTTATGCCGTGGTGCAGATGGGCGTGGAGGTGCCACCACTGTTATGCCGCCGCTGCGACCACTGTTATGCCCTTATGACAGGGGTGGATTGGTTGTCTCACCGCTGTCGCCACTGCTACGCCGATGACAAGGGGCGTGGAGGTGTCCCGCTCTGTCACCCGGTTTAGTATGCTGCCACCATCTTGTTATATCAAGAAAACTCTAATAAACCTATCATTGCTTACGTCACGAGTCCTGGCTTAACTCGCGATTTGCCGAAGCTTCGGGAGGGGCTGGATTCGTCGGGGAAGAGGGTAACACTTAAGGAAATGCTAGGTTGAATTAAAATCACACACATTCCTATCCTATTCTATTTCCCTATGTCGCTATATACATACTATATACACACACTTTGCCGACGTTCGTCGGTTCGTAATACATTTGATGATGACCCTGTAGCACCACATCAGTTCTATCTCCTGTCACCCTGCTGTCGGGTATTCTACGCCTCTGTATCTCTTAGTGATCCTAGTCCATCTAGCTAGCACTTTCTCTCTTTGGGGTTGCACTTTAAAATTATCACACTTATTGTTCACGGCTTTATGAAGTTGGTTCACTTACTTGAGCTGAAGAAACAGACGCTCGCCATCGCCAACCAACGCCCACTCATTGCCATCGCTTTCTCGGCGATAGCCTCTGGCTGAACTATATGTCACTTAATAATATTAAAAAGTAAAAGTCAAAAGGTTCAAAAGGTTTTTTAATTGATTCCTCTAGGGTTTATATACACTCCTTTTTGCTGATTCTTTGTGTTCTGGGGTATAATGACGCGCCCATTCTGACGTGATTTTGGGTCGGTGTGGCCCACTCATTGGTAGCCTATCGAGAAGGGGTTGAATCTTTCGGGTCTACCGCCTTCTCCGACTCAGCGTTTCCCTCCTGCCATAGTGTTTATGACCTACTTCATGTAGCTTCTTCCTCAATGTCAGCGTTATTACGCTGCCGCGCTAAAATTCTGATTACACAGGTATTGCCTGTTACACTTCTTTGTAAACCAAGCTTCCTGGTACGTTTCATCATTTGTTTCTTAATCTTACAGTCTAGCTACTATTATTCCAAATTTACCCCAAAACTATATCTACATGTACATGACCTTTGCGCCATTACATCCCCCCACACAAAACGTGAGATATTTCCTGTAAAAGAAATATTACACTTGTTTTCTACACATGCTTACTTACAGTCTCTTTCACCTACGTTTCAACAATGTTACAAATATCATATTTATTTATTACATCAAATTTCCTTATTGTCTGTGATTGTTCTCTATCAGTCCCCTCGATTCACTTTCACTTTGGTTGGGTTCCTTCACTGGAACACTGTAGTCTCGGACGGTGTTCCGAAGTCTCTGGTCTCCTTCCGTCGCCATCTCTCTGTCGATCCATTCTTTGGGCTCGTCCTTCGGGTGGTCCGGGCTGTCGCCCTTGGTGTTGTCTGCTATGGCCCTCCCCCTAGCGCCGCGCGCTCGGAAGATGAGCAACGCTTGTCGGTTGCTCCATAGACACAGACCGAGTACTGTGGCTGCTGCTAGCGAACCGACCACGATTCCGCTGCATATCCATCTCTGCGTCAGGAGCCTGGCCTCCACCTGCTGTCATAGTTGAGTCATTGTCGTGGGGGCGGTGTCGGGAGTAGATCCGTCCTCCGGGTCTTCCCATGCGCCCCATACATCTCCTAGCAACCTTGGCGCTGCTTCAAATAGGTGACCTCCTTTGAGTGTAGGAGGTCCGGTGCCTGCGGTGCAACGATTCCTGGGCCGTCCCAATCGGCCGTGGACTGGAACTGCCGACTGGCTGGCAGCGTCAGCTGTCCGATGATCAGGTCACAGCCATCCGGCTGCGTGATGCCTGTGCCTTCTATGCTCGTTATGTTCATGGGGCATCCTTGAGAGCTATACACCTGCATTCAACCTATGTAAGCTTCCCTACCGTATATAGCCATGAATTTTCAAAAGGGTGTTTCCTGATCACTGGTCTAAAATTTTC